TTGATCGTGTGATTGCAGTGAATTTCTGCAGGGCAATACCCGTATGTATGAAAATCTGTTCTGTTCCACTCCAAGCTCGTCACCAAACACAACAGTTCATAAATATGGGAGTTAAAGTGATCAAGTATCTTCACTGTTAAAAATGACTCATTTTCTACTGCTTTCAGCATCCTTCTCTACGTCTTTGAGCATACTCACCGATAACGGCACCATCATCGAGTATTGTTTCAAATTGACTTTTAAAGTGTGTCTCGACGTAAAAGCTGATTGTCACGAAGAGAACCTCATCCACTGAATTGTTTTCCTTCTATGAATTTAGTCTCTTTAGATTGAGTCGCTTTGTTTCGCGCATTGGTTTTTAGAAAGACAGTTATTAGTGTGCTCGCAGCCAGAGCCACACCGTCTCCAGAAGTCTGTGGCCATATTTAACAGTGACGAGCGTTTCGACGCTGAATATTTTGAGACTTCTAGAACAAATCACTCAGGCTATCAGAAATCCAGTTTATTTGTAATGCTAGTTCTCCAATATTGAAAGATCGTTTTGTTGGAACTTTAATTCCAAAAAGTGACTGAAAAAATGAAGGATTGATGAAATTCGAAGAAGTATGGTGCGGGGACGGGAAAAAGTCTCGGACCGGAAAAATCGGGGACGAAATTTTTCGGGACGACCCCGAAAATGTCCGCGGCTCGAAAACAGTCGGGGGAAAGGATTTGGGAACGTGGAATTTCGAGAAAAAAAAANCCGAAAATCGACCTCTGGAACTTGAATCAGCAGTACCCAGAATACATGATTTTTTGATGGAAAAGCATTGAAACCAATAATCTTTAGGATATAAAAGCGGTAACTGCGAAGCCAAAACGCAATTCTATCAACAGTATTTTATTCAACCACATGAGAGAGAATAAAGTACAACGGCAATGTTTCTTTGACAAAACCAAAAGAAAATACACTCTCTATTCGTGCAGGTTTCTACTACATTGATCGAAGTATTCTTATGTTCGATTAAAATCGCAAGTTGGTTTTGTGGAGCTTCGTTTAATCATTGGTTTAGGAATTTCAAGAGTATGGAAGGTGATCGGAGGGTTGGCTGAATAAAAATTTTAACGTTTATTGTTATAAGGCACGTGTTTGTGCATATCCTCCCTTGTATTCATTTCCACGAGTCCAGTGTAACAAAGTTACGATATCGATAAAGCAAAACCGTTCAAAATAAACATTATCCGATGTGATGATTCGTCGGTTACGATTGATACAAAAACGGTTTGTGATGAATTCATCCAATCGAGTGCTTTTACATATTCACATTCATGATAAGACAAAGGACGTTCTTCATGGGATAAGGCTTCCTTTATCCTATTCATTCGCATTTGTGCATTGCGAAAGGTTTCTTTGCGTGATATTTTCTAATCAGTGATATCATTTTAAATCAGATATCACGACGTTATCCCATGCACCTCTTTCATGCTCGCTTCATTCATTAGGGACCAGACTCCTGCATATTATTACAATTTTATAATGTATCACTCACCAGTCGCGACATACACCCTCATCTCGACCATAAAGCAATAAAAGTTTAACTATCGGGAAAAAATCGGGGAATTNACAATTCTGGAAGTGTCGGAAAGGGGAAAAATCGGCGACGACCTCGAAAATGTCCGAGGATCGAAAAAAGGTGTATTTTTGACAATGTATTTTGCGTGCCATGGCCTCTCGCTAACAATATTAAAAATTTCCAAGCCCTTTAGACATGTTAGGCTGGCGTAAGCTTTGGAATAAGATGCAAATGCTACTGGCTTCCACATAACAGTTCACGGAGACCATTATTGTTGCGATTTCAAAACAAATGAACAAACTCAATTGGGCGATTAAGATGCTTGATTAAGATATTGTATCGAGACAATCGAGCTTGTCAATGTATAAGCAATAATAATAAATGTTTTAAATATTGCTATTAAATGAAAACTTTCCCCTGTGAGATTCTGGTGTAATAATGTTGGTTGAGAAAGGTAAAGAATTTGTACGGCATTAACTTGTTATTTGTAGGTGAAACGATTTTTTGATGTTAGATTATTGCAATTAAATTATTGCGTTCATTCAGCTTGCGATCGTATTAGGGCACTAACGAAACATCTGATTGCATTGATGAAGATATGAGCAATTATATGAGTCGTATGCGAGGAATAATCATCATTCGATTATCGTCGAGAAACAGCGCACATTACAATGATTTGTTGATAAGAGTGATGTAGTTGTCATTTGTGAACGATTCGTAAAAATGTTGTTTTAAATTGTTGTTGCGCATTCCGTTGTGATGATATGATGTTGCATTTAAAAACTGGCTGCGATTAAATGGCGCAATGCGCTCATGCACAAATCTGAATGCCACCCTCCATCGGAATTTTTTTGTTTTTGTGAAGGAATACCCTTACAAGCCGAGCAGGTTGTTTGTAACGGGCAAGCAATTCTTACTGATGGTGTGCATTACTTCAGGTGAACTTTCCAAGTGAAACTCAGCTGCAGTTTCATGCTGAGTCTAAGCTGAAAGCTAAGTGATCTACAGTGATCATATTAGGTGAAACAAAACATTCAGTCAACTGAATGAACGGAGATAGTTAGAGGATGTCACATCTAATGAGTGGTCATAAAAATTTAATGTGATGATCTAATTAAAAAAAAAGAGAATAGCCGAAAGTATGTAGTAGTAAAAATTTGATGAATGAAACATACTCTGTAATATATGGAATTAAGAAATGTTACAAAAGATAAGTTGACAAATTGAAATATGTCGATTTGAAAGCAAAATCTTATATTGTGCCTTCGTTCTGTTTTC